ACACAGCAGAAGACTCAAATCAGACAGGATATGACCTGACCATGGAGCAAAACGACAAAGTGACTTAGATCCCATCTGACACCAGCCGGGAAGGGGTCCAAGCATAGGAGAACGTCCCTGGTTCAGTCATAAATAGACGAAATCCAAGGTGGGAGATGGAGAAGAAGGAGAACAAGACTCAATTCATGGCAACGCCAAATAATACTAGTCTCTCCTCTACCTCCTGTGCGATTCAAAATTATGAATCTCCGATCTTGAATCACGGAGCCTGGCTCCTTAAGTACCACTGTCAAGTCTCCTCTCTCTCTCTCTCTCTCTCTCACACACACACACACACACACACACACACACACACACAAAAGCCGCTGATGCATTGCAGATGTCTTAGTGATGAAGGCTGGCTATGGTGGGTGGCAGACCTCCAAGTCTGGCGCCATGCGAGTGGCCTACGCCACCATCACCACCAGTCTTCCCTGCCTCTATGTAGTGCTCCTCTATCTCCTCTCGTACCAGATTCCTCTACTTACTTCCTCTACCACTAGGCTGCTCTACTTGCAGCCTGGGACATCAAGAATGAATCAAAGAATACCTGCCTGCTATTGGGCCAGCCTCTCCTATGTAATTAATACTGGGCCCTCCGCATCCAACTTCGCTTCCCATCTGTGCTGTTCGATCAACCGAGGATCCACTGATCCAGCGAAGAGGCCATGTCGCCAAACATAGGCCCAGGCCTAAAAACGTATGGTATGGGTCCCAACTCAAATCCAGGTCCTCCCCTGCTTTCTCTCTCTCTCGCTTTTTTTTTGCAAACATCGGCGACAGTACCTAGAGGGGGTGCTGATACGAGCAGACACCCCCTCTACGGTTCTCACTCTTCCATGGCTCTGTTCCATTGGTGGGGAGCTGCACCTGCTGGAAACCAGGTCCAGCGTCGCTTGACATCATAAACAGAAGCCTGAGTTACATGCAATAATACATTCAGTTATGTCGTATGTTTACGAGCCCAGGTCCTCCCTGCTTTCTCAACAACAGCGCCTGGAAGGGATAACAACAGGCCTCGCATATGACAGGCCCAGCCAGAAATTGACGAGCTGGGCCAAAACATGAAACAGTATCTGTCAGTGTTTGGAACAGGACGAAACCAGGCCTACTCTGATAAGTCCTCAAAAATGTGAACCAGGACAGGACTAAAACTGAACTGATACCAAAAAAATACTCCTGGCAAAGGCAAAGCAAAGTTAGCAAACTGATTAAAATTTACAATTGATTCTGACAGCTGTCATGACCTGCAACATCACAGACGGATGACTGTTTTCTGAGTTTTACCGCTGGACTGAGAGACTTGCTGAGATTCCCGTATTTTGCTGAGTTTTCTAAGTACGTGTGTGTGCATGATTGCTGAGTTTCTGTGTGTCTGCCTGACTGCATGATTGTGTGTGTGACCCGCCAGGATACTTGTGTGCTGAGAAGTCCCCTGCGCCTGGTACGCGTAGGTTGGAAAACACTCAAAGTAGCGGGTAGGTAGGCAGAAGAAGACGAAAAGGTAGTACCTTTAGGGGCCGGAGTGAATGTAGAGTCCGAAAGGCTTAGAACGAAAGGTACCGGGCTCCCCATCAAGATACACGGTCCAAGCTCCCCATAATAGTTCGGTCAACGGGTCATCTGCCTCCCAGATCTCTAGGGTTTAGAGTTTTTTGCTTCAGATGCTACGATACTTCCAAACACGCTACCAGTAATTCAGGGTTTAGGGTTTTAGCCTCAGGCATTACTTTCAAAGAAAATCGCTCCAAAGGATACCGAAATTAGAGCAAAGAGGCCGTCACACCCTCCGCACGGGTAAAGCAGAGTCACGCCATAGGCCAAACTGACAGAGAGGAGCAGTCAGAAAAAAGACCGGATAGTTCCAGCAAAGTCGAGTAACTATCACTCATAGCTTCTAAGGAAAAAACAGCCTAGAATAGGCTAACTTAAGCAGGGGTGAAGATCGGTACATCCTCCTTCAAGGAAGTAATCAATGCCGTCTTCTGGGCCTCCACGCCATAAGGGGGAGGAGCATGAGTGAGTAACAATTGTACTACCTTGGACTTGCCGGGAGAAGAGGAACCAGACTGATGCTCCCCAGAATGGAAACGGAGCCAGAACCATAAGGTTCTGTTTTAAAAAAAAAAACAAAAAAAACGAAAGGCACCAGTCCAAGTAGCCTGAGTCTAGAGCCTGCAGGAGGGGATATCAGACTGCAATGATGTTTCCCTCCGAAGCGAGGAAGGTACCTCTAGCTTGGGGGGGCATGCAGCCTTAGAAAGTCACCGCCCGAAGAGGCAGTAGTCCGGTATATCTTGGGAAAGAGCGAAGAGCTCTTCCTCATTTGCACGCGTGCAGTTTGGTGTCATGCTGCTCGGGCGAGCAGTAGCGCTGGGGAGGAAGAAGGTGGGCTTGGCCCTCCACCTTAGCTAGGGTGGAGAGGACCAGGGAGGAGACTCCGGGGAAGGAGGAGGAGGAGGAGGAGGAGGAGGAGGAGGACAGTGAGCAAGGAGGTGAGTGCGAGCGGTGCTTACCTGGCTATGGTGGTCTGCATCCTCATCTTCTCCCTGCACCTGAAAGTCCCCAGTTGCGGTTGGCTTCTACAACAAAGACTTTGGGGTAGTGATAGGCATGGCGGTTATAGGAGGAGGGACACATTAGCTTTGCGTTGTTCGTTGAACATCGGGGCTTTGCTCCGTCAGTCCGCCATCGCCACCTGCTTGCCCGAGGAGGAGGAAGGTGTAGGAGATGGCTATGGAGGGCCTCTTGAGTGGCTGGCAGTAACGAGGAGATTAGGACATTGGTTCTGGTTCATTCTTTCATTGTTATTATTATTATTATTGTTAAGAAGAAAGTTGGGAAGTTGGGGGAGTAAAAGAGGTTGGAGACGGTGGCGGGATGAAGGGGGATTGACATTGGTCTTTGCTGGTGTTCGTCTTCTTCTTCTTCTTCTTCTTCTTCTTCTTCTTCTTCTTCCATTCTTATTTCTTCTTCTTCCTTTGTCTATTTCTGTTTCCAAGTTCTTTCATTTCAGTTGCAAATGAATGGCATTGTCTTTCTTCGATTTGTTGCACTGCAAGATACCCAGGATGGTAACAATCAGTATCAGAGCGGTACTTGCTGGCAAAAGGATGTCTTGTCGTCCTAACCCTAATTGGAGTTGATTACGGCAAGGTAATCTCAGATTAGGGTTGGCATGAATGGAAAGTGGGATGGTGAGGTATGTGGGAGCTGGCCCCCCTTGGTTAAGGACACACAAGGTCGACATGGACCCTGACCAGGTTGACCGAGTGGATGTATGAGATAGCGAGACACAAGTGTCAGTATGAGGTGTATTGTGGGAGGAGAGAGTGCGTGGTGACTCACGCCTGGACTCTTGAGCTTAAGGAGGACATTTAGTGACTACAAGGCTTCTCTCCAAGAGGGCAAACTTGGTGGTGAAGTAGCATTGGCTGCACCATATGACTCCAATTTGCTGATTGGCCTTCAACGTTGAGGTGGGACTCGGCGGTGTACATTGGTATAGAGTAGACCCTCCTAGATTACTAGGGTACACTAAAGTAGAGGTTGCTAATTGGGTCAGAAGGACATATGAGAAGGGGGGGTGAGTTATTCCTCATAATCTCTCATCTCAAGAGTTCGGGGCACACAGTTGAGAGTGTCGTGTAACCGGGGGATGCCTATGGATGAGTGCATGGTGCTGCATGGGCTGATGGGGTATGCTGGACTTCTTTTCCTGTTCTCTATGATCTTGGCTGATGTGGATGCGTTTGTTAGACTGCTCTCTCACATGATGGATGGATGGATGGATGCAAGTAGCTTGATTAGCATTGCCTATCCTTCTACAGTGCTTTCATCTTTTCATTCTGAAATTGGTTGTAGTTGAGTAGGGACCATGTGTGCTTGTCTTTTCTCTTTCAGTACCTGAGGGATAGTGTTGGGACATGGATAGGACTCTTTGTTTCTGGTTGGGTTACTCGCCTTCGTGGGCCTAGAGTACCCAGTGGGATCCTTCCCAGTAGGCAATGAGCCTGCTAGCTACCAGCTCTATTGCCGCATCAGGCAGTTCTTTGACATGCTGGAAGGTGGGTGTCCCAATCCCGATCCCCGTCCTCTCTCTTGGGGGTAAGGGGCCTGCCAAAGGTTGAAAGGGGTCCCCAAGTAATGGGACATTCCCATCTTGTCTTTTCACCTGGTAGGAAAAACCTATGGAGTCCCATGGCCTCCACCATGTCACAAACAACCATGTCAATCACATACTTCAGATTCCTTCTATATCTCATATAGGTCCCCTCATTCCTAACAAGTCCCATGCCTGCTAAAACATAACCCCTTTCTAAGATGACCTTGAGGCACAGCTCATACTAGTACATGTTCGTGCCCGTGAAAGAGTTCACGAAGCTATATGCATGAGCAATCCGGACGGGCCCGTCAAAACTGAGGAGGCAGCGGTAGAGGTCTTGTATGCTATGCACTGGGGGGAAATGTTGTTTGGAAGGGATAATCCTGGTGCCCCCTAGCACTCCACATCACTTGATTCCACGTTGGCCGTGTGGAGCCCCCCTGAGGTCCCACAGGTGTGCAGAACGTCCAAGAAGGACTTAGCGATGGTAATGGGTAAACCTTCCACATTCCATAGTTCCATAGCCCTAAACACTCTTTTCTCCCAAGGGACAGGACCCCGAGCCTGAGTTCCTTGAGCTAAGCCGAGCGGTACTAGTGCCCGCTTTCAAGGGGCAACACCAAAGTCAGTCCACCTTGGACTCGGGATTCGAACAAGGTTAAATGCACCCTTAGCCTTTGTTTCGATTCCTCCACGACATGGACAGTAGTACCCTTCCCCCTCACCCAAGCACCCGACTTGAATCTCAGAGTTTGGGCCGCCTCCAGCGGATCGGCTTATCTACTCCCTCCAGATGTGCTTGAAGAAGGTAGACTCTCAAGGTTTGTGCACACTCACACCTCACCAGCGAGACGACATTCAAACACTCATGATAGGAAGATCGATGGCGGGTAGATAAGGTTAGGGACGCTAACTTGATCCTGCACGAACCACAAATGGTCTCACCAATTGTTTATGACGTTGCCATTCGATACTGGTCAAGGCAAAGAGGAACCACTGGCAATACAGTCCCAATACCGCCTCAAGCAACGGCGAGCAGCAATATACTCTCACCACTCTGCCACATTACCTAGGATACTTCTGCCCGCCCACCCTCTGCCCAGTGGATGGGTGTACCGGCGGGCATCGATGCACTGCCGGAAGATGATTATTGGCACCACACAACCTTACTTGACGGCTAGGGTGGCAAGTATCACAGGAACTTCTCAATACCATAATGCGAACAACTAGCATGTACGGACACAAAAGTTTCGAGCAGCAAGAACTCATTGACGACCACGCATGACCAGACAAACTGAAAGCACAATTGACAAGGCCAAGAGCACACCGATGCAAAAGCACACTGAACACTGGTCCCTTGATAATGAAAGCCCTCTCCTCACCCCCACCAATCAATACAACAACAGAGTATTTAGCCCTAAGTTAAGATGTGACTGCCTACGGTACTCCCCTCGTCTGCCGTATCATTCTAGCCTAGCTCTCACTCTCTCTCTCTTCTCTTTGCTCCCTCCCTCCTCCGCCAGATGCTGCTGAGGTCCGATCACATAGGTGCACTTCCGCCATACACCAGGTAAGTATCCGCCTGTTCCCACAACCTTCCTCCTCTCCTAAGGACCTCCTCATCTTCTCCCTCGCCACCTCTCCCTGCACTGTGCCGCACCCCTGCCCCTGCGATGACACACACATATGCATGCAGCACACTGCTAGCACTGCTGCTTCTGTAGTACAGTGCCAGCTATCACGCATGCTAATGCCAGCTGCCCAATGTGTCCCCTGCTTCAGCGTGCCTTCTTTTGTCTTGTCCGAAGGCCGGGGTGTGGGCCTTTCGTAGGCAGTGCCTACCAGTCTGGGTCCCGGCCCAGATACCTCCCCGGTCGGTACCGTGACTATGGGCCTACCGGGTAGTTACCTGGAATCAGCCTACACTTGGGGCTGCGGTCCCCTCAGTGCCTTCGCTGATGGCCGTGTTCTTCGGACAGAGTCTTTGTACTGGTGGTAAAACCGCTACTCCTTTTCGTTCAAATTTGTCTATGTCCGTTTGCTGACACAAAGGCCTCCTTCCATATTTTCTTGATCACTGAGTTCATTAAAACTTTCATCGACGTGTCTTTTCTCGTTCACATCTTTGAAGTTGTGAGACTATGGGTTTCACTCCACTACAGAGCACTCTACATGCATTTGGAATTTTGGAGCTATTGCTTTCTGCACCCAATACATTCAAAATGTTGGACTTGTCCGAACGCACCTGGTCCAGAAAGCATCCGAATGCATGTGTTGTGTAGTGGAGTGAGGCCCTATGTCTGCAGGCTAACATCTCCCCACTGTCGGAAGGTGAAGGAATTTCGTATCTCCAAGTACGATGAAGCTACCTTCTTCCCCCGAACATAACGCATATGCGCTGTAAATGAATACAACGCATATGGTGCATTCTATTTTGAATACAACGCATATGCGTTCCATTCAAATAGCCAGAAATTTCGAATACAACGCATATGCGTTCTATTCGATTTTGTGTCAAATTTGGAAACTCGAATACAACACATATGGGTTATGTTCGGGGGAAGAAGGTAGTGATTGACTGACCGCCGAGTTCAGAAGCTCTCAAATGTGTGCCCATGTTATGCCTATTTGTTTACCCCAATGCTCCCCCAAATTGATATATTGATCACTGGACTCGCAATCATTTCAAAATGTCTTTCCTTGACCAAGTCCATTTGATGACACAAACATCTCCTTCCATAACCACGGGGTCTATAACTCTCGACTCCTTCAAATATACATGCATGATGCATGTCATTGTGGGTACCACAAAGGCATACTCACACCAGGAGTTTTCTTAAGTGAATCTGGCAGCAAAAAATTATGGTCATACACATACGCTTCACAGGCAAAATGTGCCGACATGACTGTATATGCACCTTGGCCTTCACGGATCGGCCTACCAGACCAAAATAGCTGGCACCAGGGCAAACAAAAAAAAGGCGCGCCCACGCCGCTTCGTCTTTCATTGACCCACAGCACACCTTCTAGATCAAATCATGCCCTTCCCTACGCCATCAACTTAGGGGTTTCAAGTTTCAACTTCTCACATACAGATCTCTAACCTTTTAGAGGGTTCTTTTGTCTATAATGATAGCATCCTCCCCTTTCATTTGGAGAGGAAAGAGAGGAAAAGAGATCTTACAAGCAGTTTAAAAATGGCAAGAGGTAGAAGAAGAAGCAATTACCTCCACCCCAAGCAAATTTGGGTGCTGGACAAGATACATTGCAGGTGAAGTGTACACACATGGCAGCCATGCTAAGCATCCCCAGCACAGATAAAAACCAGCTGTAATGTACCAGAACACCACCAGCATCATCAGCATGACCAGCAGCAGCCAGTGAGTCTGTATGTGTCCATCAAGATGATACTCTACAGTCTCCACACAGTGTACACACCTATGATACAAACAAAAGAGAATAACACAGGCTCACGTGCCTAAGTTCAGTTGAAGCCTTTAGGGCTTTACGTGTTTACATAGCACACCTGCTCTCTCTTGAGATTTCTTTTTGGTTTCTAATAAGGGGAATAATAACCCCTAATCTAGGAATATTCTCATGCCCGGCCGGGCGCCTGGGCGTGACGCCCGGGGTACCCGGGCGTGCAATTTCTGCGCTCTCCCAGAGGACTCCAAATCCGGAATCATTTCGTTTTTTGCGAGTTGGCTGTCAAGGGGGGGGGAGGGGGGTATAAATTGGTTTTAAAGGGGCTAAAGGGGTCTAAAGGGGGTTGCCTTTGTGTGATTCTGTTATTTTGTTTTTTATCTCGGATTCTGTGAGGAATTATAATGTGACCCGCAGCCAAAACTGGTTTGCATTTTTTTTTTTTTT